AAAAATGTTAAAATAGTTATTACAACAGTTATGCAAGTGACAAGTGAAATCACATTTAATAAATGTATAACACAATATTTTTTGTAAAACTGTTATTATAAAAGATGCCATCTGTGGGTTTGAACTCCCGATCTATCGCATACATGTCGGACGCATTGGCACTGAGCCACCGCCACCGGTTCGTTTTAATTATATTCGACAATAAAGTGTATACAGGGCGGCCCATAATTAGTGTGCAATACCTTCGTAGTAGATTCTACGACCAAAAATGAGTTTTGGTGTGTTGGACACTCAATAAATGTTCTAACGAACTACATGAAAACTGTTTAAAAATTTTAGACAGGGGTGTCTCAGGCAGGGGGCTCACGGGTAAAATGCGCCCCCAATTTTTTGAATGACAATATTTTCAAATTTAAATATCAAATTATGATAGATGAGGTTTTCACAAAAAAATGTACTCTTGATTTACTTCGATCAAATGCTTTGTTTTCGAGAAAAATCGAAGGTTTTATTATACAGGGTGATTCAGTCATAATGTCATTAATTTTAAGAGCAGAATACGATGGTGTGATTAAAAAAAATTAAATGCATATTTAAGCTGAAAAAAATATTTTCAAATCATTATTTAACCCCCTTTTCAGGCTGTTACTTAGGCTGTTAATATTTTAACAACATTTGCCGTAAGCTCGAAGGGGAAGATTTTCAAACAATTCTACTAAAAATTGTAAGTAACGCGGCCTATTTAGATGTTCAGGTAGAAAATTCGATCGCCATATACTTCTGCCCATACATTGACACCGAATCTCCTCTGAAAGCTAAACCGACGAGTAGTGTGCGGATTTTCATCTGACCAAATGTGACTATTATGGCTGCAAAGAAATTAGCTGTTTCACTTTAAATAAAATTTAATATTGAAGTTACAAAACTCCAAAAGTTCAAATAATTTAAATTTCATTTCATAACCATTTCAATTTCGTTACAGAAATAATGACATAAAAAACCAACACTCACTAGATAAATTATAAAGTGAGGATTAAATGTATGTAGTATTTAAATATTGACTGTAAGTAATAGAAGAGAGACTTGTATATTCCGTAAAAAAATAATCGGACGGAGACAAATAAACAACTCGGTACGTGTTTCCGACCTAGGTCAACCTGGGGTTCAGTAACCTTTTAACCTACTTTTAATTTGCACGTGCACCATATAGTCCAGCAGCCAGATAGGATTCCGTAGCTACGGCTGCAAACAACTTATTCTTAAATATTTGACCTCTTGAATCCAAAAAACTTGGACCCAAAGCCTGAAAGTGGTCAGTTTAATTGTTATCAACAAATTAAATGTTTAAATGGCTGTAAAAAGTTTATTTTTATAGCTAGTACAATTTATTCGCTAATAGTTACGTTTTCTCATAACAAACATGTATTTTTTTGAAAATTAAAAAAAAATTAACTTTAACCAAAGTTATTGCAAATTTAGTGCAAATCTCTTACATTTTCCGTCTCCGCGCGCACTAATTTTACCATATCTGGTTCTACTGGACGGATTAAGACGCACGACATCTCATTTTAAAGCTTGAACTTTATTTTGCAAGATAGGTAAGTTGTATTTATTAATTAATTTATTTAATAATTAATGGCAGCTTAGAAATTTGTGAAATTTCAACGAAAATGCCGGTTTTAATTGTTTATAAGGTTTTTTTTTATTATTCAACTTCGACGAAAAGCCAAAAAAGTTACCGGATATTGTTCTTTGCATCCTAACAATCAAGCAAGACATGAAATCATTGTTAGGATGCGAGGACCAATAACCGGTAACTTTTTTGGCTTTTCATCGAAATTGAATAACAAAAAAAGTTTTATAAACCAATAAAGCCAGCAAAGTTGACTTCGAGAAGTAAGGCTTGTTAAAACATTTTGCACAAAGTTAATACAATTATTAAAATTAGTTATAATAAAATATAGCATGATCCTTTATTTACTTGCATTTTATTGTTTTCGTACATATGTATCGTACATGTTTCGTACATATGAAAAATGTGAGAAACGTGTATTAAAACTAATCTAAAGCTCTCATTTTAGCTTTCACGAATGGTCACTATCCAAAGCCTTTATTCTTATCATTATCAGAGGGTATAAGACTTAAGAAATGAAGATTTTATGCGTATGATCGAATTTTCTCAGTGGATCATTAATAATGAAAACTTGCTTCCATTAATTTTCTGAACCGTTGAGGCGACTTTCACCGGAAATGGAGGTCTTAATTTTCACAATACCCACTATTGGGCTACTGACAATCTGAAGGTAATAATTCCCAACACAAGTTTTCAGTTAATCTGTGGGTGGGGATTATCGGGAAACATGTGCTTTCAAAACGATAGAGCTCCAACTCATAATAGTAGGAATGTGAAAATCTGGTTGAACGAATATTTTCTAGAAAGGTGGATTGGACCAAGCGGTCCCATTGCCTGGTCACCTCGTTCACCTGAACTTAATCATCAAGATTATTACTTATGGGGACATTTAAATAGTATGCTAAGGAACAATGAATTTAAAACTTTCTTCGTGCTTCTCATGCAATAAGGCGTAGAGCTATGCTGTGCATTTACAAAGTGGCAGTTATTTTGAGCAATTATTGTGATCGTAAAGTGAAAGCAACAATTTAAGTTTAATAATCTGTCAAATTAATTCAAGTAAACAATCGCTTGTTTTTATGGCCTACTTACCTATTGATGTAATCCTTTTCCATTCTTGAGATTATGTAATAAAACTTTAAAATCGATTTTTCTCGAAAACGAAGCATTTTATCGAAGTAAATCAAGAGTACATTTTTTTGTGAAAAACTCATCTATATCATAGTTTTATGTTTAAATTAGAAAATATTGACATGCAAAAAATTGGGGGCGTATTTTATCCGTGAGCCCCCCTGCTTGAGACACCCCTTCCTAAAATTTTTAAACAGTTTTCGTGTAGTTCGTAAGAACATTCATTGAGTGTCCAACATACCAAAATTCATAATCATACGTTAACTGGTTTTTGAAATATTTCACACACATTATAAAAGTCAATTTTTAGTTCACTTATCAATTAATTAAAAATGTCATCAGTTTTACAAAAAATATTTTATTATTGCAGACCTGCGTGTTGGAAGAAATTTAATATATACATTGAAAGTGTAGGCAACGCTCACAAAATCAGCACATATATACTTGATCTGTTAATGTTTAACTTGTCTATGGTCTTTTAAAGGGACGAGATATTTAAAAACTTTTTTATTAAAAGATGTTGGTAAAGAGGTCTTCCAAATGATATAAAAGTATATTTATAAAATTAAAAAAATGACGTCACAGCTTTTCAAGATGGAAGTTTAAGTCAATCACTTATATTTTCTTATTTGCTTTTTCTGTTTTACTGTAATGGTGGCCATTCATCAGTTGTATGTGACGCAGTACATACTTACATTATTGCACTGAAAGACATGTTCTTATTATACTATTTCTCTAGTTTCTAGAATAATGTGTATAGCGCACATTATGTAACAAATATACAAATATTATTAGAAAAAAACACTCATCTCCATGTTCATTATACAATATAATGTAATATAAGCTTTCGTTTGTATACTAGAGAAGATTTGTTGTATGAAGACCAATACCCTGTATATAAAAGCTGCATTAATAGAATAATTCGTTTTCATAATGATTATGTTTCCGCCTTTAGCGTGTAAAACGCGTCTTATAATGGTTAAGTGATCGTCACCTTCCGGCGTCCGCTCTACATCAGTTATTACGCTTCTTCTAGTTGGATGAGCATTGACAGCATAGACACATATCTTACTATGGGATACATGATCATATCGCGTTGTGTGAAGAGGAAAGTTATATAAGCATCTATTTTATGGTTTGCAATTGTTTTGTTGTCATATTTAAATCTCGTCTGAATCTTAAATTACCTTGTGTGCCCCATTAGAAACTGCTGAGCTTTACATAATATGAAGGAACAGAAGGCTAACGGTGATAAAGAAGAATACGGGTAAAGCCAGTCAACCAGAGGAAATATTCTTATGGTGAAAGAGTTATAATGCAAATTCCCATGTAATACAGAAAGATACGGGTATGCATTGCTACTAAGAAAATAAGTTGGACAGTTTGTGAGCGATTTGTCGTCATTTTTAACAGTTAAATGTTTCTTATATGTTTACAAAAGAATTTCAGCTTGTAATTATAGTTTAACAATAAAATTTCTGAAAATTTAATGTCATATGTTTTTAACCCACATATAGTTGTGCAACAGTTTAATACATTTATTATTATAAAACTTATTATTAGTATTAGATGTTCTAATAACAAGTATGGACACTTTAATAACAATTATAGCTGTCATTTCGTAAACAGTATTATAAACGTTTTATACCAGTCATACTTATATATAATACAAGGCATGCTAATGATCTGATTGTCCTGAATTCCAGGATTGACATTGCTAAAAAACAGTTTGGACTTAAAACTTTATTTTATTTTATTAAGTAGATTCGCCCAACATAAACTTAACGTAATGAATTTTAAACTTTTTAAAACATTTACCAAGCTCTACTTAACAGAAAATTGTTTTTATAGCATTCAAGAGTATATTAATAAATTGACATTTAAATAAATTTTACATATTCACTTACTGTCTTTTTTTCATATTTTTTATATTTTATTTATATTTGTACCTTTTGTATATAACATTGTCAATAAACAATACAATACAATATATACAATAACTTAATAAAGGATATTATTATATTATTTGTATGCAATGTTCTTATAATAACATTTAGAATTCTAATAAAGAATAAAGCGCATTTCTTTCAGTGTACTTTCAACTGAAATGTTGTACTAGTATTTTACATATTACTATTTAAATTTCTATATTCTGAAAATGAAACATTTCCAGATACATATTTATCAAGATGTTTTATTAATTCATGTTACATAATTCACATTTAATTATTTCTAGGAGTACCTCCGCATGAGAAATTTCCCCCACGATTTCGAGACGAAGGGTCGCAATGCGTATCCGTCCCAGAGAACACTACTGCAACGCTCACAGCAGAGTTATACGAACTTATCGAAGGCACTGAAATCTTATGGTGAGTTAATACAAATTTCTATAGTACGTCTACCTACTTCATAGATCATGTTTCATTCGCGAATACTACAGCTTGACCAAAGTCGTCTTTGCGCGAGGTGCGCACATCAAAAAGAGAGTCCGCGATAGGAGTGACAAAGACAGGAGACCTGAATAGTAGGGCAGGTTCCTGGTGTGTAAAACTTTACATTTTACAAAATTTTAGTTAGATCTTCCTACAGTTTTGAATGAAGGTTTTATACTTTACAGTGTGTCCAATTATTGATTTTAAAAAAATTGTTGGATATTTTGTGCTGTATTGACTTTTATACTGTTATTGACTTCCTTCAATAGATATTTTGAAAGCGTTCAGAGCCGTACTCAGAAAAATTTTTAAATGGTAGCTAAAACAACCTAAAAACCTTGCAATAGTAATATCACAGACAATATAGCGTATCGCTACAGACTGCTACTTAAATGCTGGAAATTGGCAACCCGAAATGGAAGCAGGGTCTCCTTAGCCGGCTTCCAGCTATAAAATTTAGCGTGGTAACTCTTCTACTTGCTAATAGGCGGCAGTTCCAGCGGTGGCTTTGTTGCCAAATAATAACTGCTAAATAAATTTAATGCTTTCAATTATGTAATTAAAGAGATATGGAACTTATCTTGTGTTTGGAAATCACATTTGCCTTAAACGTTAAATAAAATAAATCAAGTTAGAAATAAAACTATGAATTTACCTAATTAATTATTTATTTTATATCACCTTGGAATGGGAAAATTCAAAAACTCGAAAGTAATGTTTTTAGATTTGTGCGTCGACTTCCAATATGGTACGATATCAAAACCTATGTTTAAAAAAATTGCATTATACAGATTGTGTATCCTTAGATGGGTACTGCCTCTTATTGTTGATTTCTTTAGATAGGTAAATAATTATTTATTTACAAAAGTGTTGCATATTATGGATGTCATTGGTAGTGCCCATATTTGTGACACAAGGTGTTCAAAAAAATTAACACAATGTAAAATTGCTGGAACCTCAAGAAGTAGTTGAATACGAAATTTATTAAAAAAAAAACAACAAATCATCAATCAATACAGAGATAAGATAATGCGTTCGCTACTGCTGTTGCAATTTTTAACGAACTAACTTTTTTGTTTTTCGACATACTGACTTCGGACCGTTTCCATTCAACGCAGAACGGACAATCAGAACCAGAGTAGTGGGGAGATTTTTTTAATTATTTTTTCAATTCAACGCACCATTTCCGAAGACCTTTTTTACTGTATCACCTCACACACCTCTTCTTTCCGAAATTTATTTTCCACATACGGACTTCGGACCTTTTCCATTCAACACAGAACTGTCATACAGAACCAAAGGTGTGGGGAGATTTTTTCAATTATTTTTTCGATTTAACGCACCATTTCCGAGTTATACGGCCTTTTTACTATAACACGACATACCTCTTGTTTCCAGAATTTATTTTCGACATACGGACTTCGGACCTTTTGCATTCAACGCAGGAGGAACACACAGAACCCGGGAGGGAGGGGTTGACATTTTTCAATTATTTTTTCGATTCAACGCACCGTTTCCGAGTTATAAACACTTTTTTACCCTATGACGTCACACACCATTGGTCCCGACTTTTTTTTTGACATGCGGGTTTTGACGTTTTTCACTCGTTCACCATGGGAGATTTATTTGTTCACCATGGGAGATTTTTTTATACTTAAGAATCTAAGCAAATACTGTTTTTTTTTCTTTCATATATTGTGACACCCCGCTCTGCGTCACCCACCGATTGCTCTACTCAGAACCAAGGGGAAATTTGTTTATATTTCCAGCCATTTCCGAGTTACGAGCAAAAACCATTTTTTTTTCTTATACTGTGTGACATCATAGATCGATATCGAAAGCTTAACAAGGCCACGCGCTCTACCCCACGTCCCCTAGGTGTCCTGAAATTGCTGGGGAGACTCCTGAAGCCAGCAGAGACATAGAGAGAGAGAGAGAGAGAGAGAGAGAGAGAGAGAGCGAGAGAGAGATAAGCCTCCTATGAGGATAAAGTCACTCTATCTCTATCGCACACTATAACTCTATCTCTCTCGCACACAATCAGACAAAAACGACAGAAACGAACCTTCTTTTAAAAATACATGGGATTTATCATTATTGGAATAACCCATTTTAATTTAAAAAATTAAAAAAATTACAATGGGTTATTCTGATGACGAAAAATAAAACATAATTAACTGTATTATTCAAATGACAATAATGTGCAAAAGTTCTTCAGGAATATTGGCAAATTTATTTTGAAGGAAGAATCCCGTCAACGAACACTAAAAAATATTATTAGAAACCTTAGGTGGCCAGAAAACAGCCCCGATCTCATTGTCAGCCCTTTAGACATATTTTTTTTACCTGAAAATTTGCAAGTATTGAAAAAAAAATACAGGACGAAATGCTTGATAATTTTGAATTTGTTTTTGAAGCAATTAATAGTAAATTGAAACATATTTTCAACTGTATCATCACAATCACTTGCATGTTGATTTGTAAAAATTGTAGGTATATTAATGTTATTTCGTTTTTAGTTATTCTCCTTATGTTGTTGTAAAGGTTAGTTATAAAAAGCGTTGTTTGTTATTTTCATAAGGATGAATTTTTTTTTTAATGATTTTTTTTATTTTAAACATATATTTTATGCCAGTAAATTTTGATTCAAATGAAATAAAGGAAAAGTCGTACATTTGTATTTAAAGTTTCTTTCTATCTTTAATTATTAAACCTATAAGTGAATGTCAAAATACAAAAAAAAACCTGTACCTACATTCCGCGACGAACTAATAACCCACCTTGTATATTAAATAAATTTATCGTCATCATCAAATATTAAAAAAATTATATTACAAGCTGTTTAAAATATTATTACGAATTTTGTTTATTTAGAAATATATTTCTGCAGTATTTCAATACCAAAAAATTAAAATAGTAGGTAGCTAATTAACGAAATTATGATTAAATAACTTAATTGTAAAACCACTGCAGAATATCATATGATACATACATAGATATTCGTTGATTCTTTAAAAACATTTATTGAAGTAAATACAGTAACGCAAAAAACAGATATTGATAAAAAAGTGTACAAAAGAAATCCGTAAGTACAAAAGTCTTGTTTATATGTTGCTAGCATACGCTTAGGTATGCGGGCCGCTGTATTTGATTCTTCCTAAAATTCTGCTGGTGGTGTACTCTACTGGCAATTCGGAAATTTAAACTGCTGGCCTATTCCAGGAGCGGTCTGTGGCGATAGCTATTTTGTCTGTGGTAATATCATCTAATTCAGAATTAAAAATAACTTCAGATTTTGTCATAAAAATAGCAGCGACGTATTTAAAAAATGAGCCTGATAATGGGCCCTCGAAGACGAAACATCCGATAGCAAAAATGTTGATGCCATTGGATTAGAGCGAAAAAGTGGAAATGTAAATATGCAATTTATTTTAAAATTCGTTTTCAAATAAAGCCAGAAAAAAATAAAACGATCTTGCAAAATTTCGCTTTTTTTCAGGATATCTCTGGAACTACCCGGAATTATAAAACTTTCTAAACGGCATATTGTTAGGTATAAAAAGACACAACTTTTTTCTAATTTGAGCGACCTCGTATCTCTTACCGTTTCCTAATGCTATCCCATCCTTATCTTGGACACACTGTATACTTAAATAATATGAACAAATTATCTGTACTTGACTCCATTAGTCAAAACAATGCTGGGTCTTTTTCATCGTACTTCCGGTTATATCGGAAGTCAATAAGTTAAATGGAACCCCTATATATTATTGCATTTTTGGAAAGATCAATTATATCTAATAGAATTCGTTGATAGATGCTATTTTACTTGGGAGACAATAAAAAATAATGTGCATAGTACTGCAGTAACAAATAACAAAGGAAAATCGTATGCATAGAGTAAGGCAAGCATTTGAGCGTCTATCACTAGATTCTATTAGAGCAGCGACCCACAAGGAACCAATGCGAAGGTGTAAAAAATGTTTAGAAGAAGGAATACATTTTCAACATTTTATTAAAATACATTTGACGAAAAAAAAATCTGTAACAGTTGTCATGTTGATTGGTTACTTACCTGTCATAGCCAACCTAAAATGCCCGAAATAAAATGAAAACGACTGGGTTTAGGTACAACGTTACACCCAATTAAAAGTGCAGAATGCGAATACGTAAAAACAAATTGGGAGTTTCCATTTAAAAATTTCGAGTTTTCCACATCTTCCAACTTCATTTCGATAATTTTTTTTTGACCACCTTGTATAAAACCTTGAAAATATTTTAATTTGGTAGGCCCCACGGCCCATATCACTTCACCATAGTTTCAGAAAAATCCTTAGCGTTTCATAGATATTCATCGATGGAGTTCGTGGTGAGTCGCCCTGTATTGTTGACAGAGCCAATAATATTAGTTATTTAAACAATCAAAAGGATGAGATAAAAATATTTTTTAAAGTTCTTCTGATTCCTTTTTAAAATGTTTACATTTTTAATCTGACAACGATTAACATAAATAAAACTCTATGACATAAAAGCAAATCATCAGTTAATAATTAAAAATAAGTAGGTAATTAAATTATATTTAAATTCCAAAACATTTCAAAATGTATGAATGCTTATTACCATTTGAGATTTTCTCTGTCAAAAAGATTCCGTTGAAATATACAGCTCTATTTAAAAAGTTTGCGCCATATAAGAAAAAACTTTATGTATAAATTTAATAAATACATTCGATTGTCAGTTATCTCTACATGTCGTCAAACCAAAATAGCACCCATCGAAACTCATAAAAACATGTGTTATATACGAGGGGCAGACGAAAACTCCAAATCGGCCCAAGAATAAAGTACCTTTATTTTCAACCTTAGGGGGAAATGTTATGAAGAAAAGTTTTTGGATAACGCTATATTATGTATTATAGAACAGTAAATCAGTCGCCG